ATACAATATACAAAACAATATATATAGACGAACCTTGTGGTTGTACGGCAGTGAAGCATCAGTGCCAACACTGATGCTGCTGTCTTTGATGACATATATATATATATAATATATATATATAGTCAATTTTTCATGTATTCCATCAAATACCCTATTGAGGTTATTCCTGGGATTCATCAGTCATTATAATGCTTTTGTGCCAGCAGTGCATGATATCCGTCGTCCACTAAACCGTGTGCTACTCAAGAACTCTCAATGGAATTAGAAAACTGATCACCAGGACATTTATCAGAAAATCAAGACTATGCTTACTTCCGGCTTACTTTTGAGACATTACGACCCATCACGTAATATCACTGTTGTGACCTATGCATCCAGCTACAGCGTAGGAGGAGTCATTTAATATACGTTTGAAAATGGCTCGGAAAATGCCATAGCCCATGCCGTTCGATCCTTGACAGCTGCAGAACGAATTACAGTCAGATCCAAAAAGAAGCTTTGGCGATTGTTCTTGCCGTGAAAATCTTCCAAAAGCTACCTTATGACCGCATGTTTACTTTAATTACTGACCGCAAACCATTAGTAGCCGTGTTCGGATCCAAGAAAGACATTCCTGTCTATTCTGCTAGTCGACTTCAAAGGTGAGCTACGATGGTACTATTACAACTTCAGCATCAAGTTTAAATCTACTGACAAGATCGGTCAGGCAGATGCACTACCAAGACTTTGAGGGAGCGGACCACCGGACTCCGAATATTCAGTTATTGCTCAGATCTCAGCTGAACTGGAAATGCGATGTGCACTTATGGGAGCTATTAAAGGTACTCCAATCACATTCACAATGATACGCACCATACAGGATCCGCTGCTGAGTTAAATAAAGAAGTACCACCTTTCCAAGTGGCCACAGAATATTAAAAACAAAGACTCGCTTCGGTTTTATTAAAGACGACCGTCACATTCCGTTTTTGATGATTATCTATTGTTTGCAGAGCGCATGGTTGTACCAGAGGGACTGAAAAAGCTCGCTATGCAACGGTTTCATAAAGGACATCTCAGGACTAACCGGATGAAATCATTGATCCGAAGCTATGCTTTTTGGCCTCATATTGACAGCCAAGTCGAAACGCCCGTCAAATCTTGCCACCAATGTGCGTTGGCTTCGAAATCCCTTAGAAAATCTGAACTCCGTTATTGGTCGGTACCACAAAATCACTCGGCGAATTAGAAATGTCATCTATGATGTTGCCGCGGCTTCGAAACGTGGGCTCATCATACAAATCAGTTCACAACCCACCTAGAGATTGAATGCGTTGCCTCTGGACATTTTGATCAGACATTTTGAACAGATCTTCTGAAGCACCCAAAGGAGGTGGCAATTTGAAATCAGAACATGCAGTCCTACTATAATAGCAAGCATGGTTGCAGAGTGGCATCGTGAAGTTCCACTTCCAAGTGCTTCCGTCGCCAGCTTGTTGCGGACTATGGTTTTCCTCATACTTTCTTAACACCGTGAACCACAGTCTGGATAGCCGCTTGACACCCTGATGCACTTGGCCAAACTATAAAAGCCGATGAACGTGCGAATCAGCTGATCAATTGAACACGGACGCGTACAGGCGTGTCATGTAAAGCTGAAAATGGGCTGTTCGCGAAGCTCGTGTGGAAAGTTCTCGGTGGACCAAAAAGTGATACGAAAAATAGAACCCATATGTGAAGAGCAAGTGAACAACAACCAATCAGATCTGTCTCAACAAAAACGGCTATTTCATTGGCAGTTGTGGAGTCCAGTTACGTTCGGAGCTTGTTCTCCTAACAGAACATTTTTAGAGATGTCTTGGTCAATCGAATTAACGTGTATAAGCCATGCTTTTCTCTGTTTAATAATGTGACCATGGCCCACCGATTCGCTCAAAGCCCCCTATACCCCTTTCATTTTCTTCTTAGGGATACCTCAGTATTTAGGGCGGGAACTTACTGACCGGAAAGTCCATGATTCGAAACCAACCTCTGCACCTCGGTTGCTTCGACCTAGACTTGATCAACCCTTCGTGCTTCGGGTATTCTGGAAGCCGTGCACTGAAAGGATTCTACATTTAAACGACTTATTTTTCTTTAAATTTAATCCATTTTCAACAAAACTTTTCTGTTGTAAAAGCAGAAGCTGACCAAAATGCATTCAATTTGTCAAACAAAGCCTGCAACTCTGACTGCCCACGGACTGTTGGATGTGCTTTGGCAATATTCCGAATGCGATTGTTTCGTCATCATCATCATCGACATATGAATAGTGGCTTGGCGATCACATCTATCCTATTGTCTCAAACCACGTAGAAGCCAGTGCCGTATCTTCTCGGAAACCTATTCAGTCGTTATATTTATCCTTGTTCTCACTTATAGCGACGCCTAGAGCTCTATAGGAAACGGAGGCGTCTATGGGCTCGTCTTCGTCGAACTGCAGAAGAAGCCAAACGATGGACCGCTTTGGTTGAAGTTCGTGCTTCCAATGGTCTCGAGCTGACTGACCCCCAGCCCATCTACCCCGCCTTGGCTGCTCTCACTGGGACTAGGACCAGGTTTCTCATAAAGGAAAAGGAGGTATCCCTTTTTCGCTATCCACTGCTTTGGTTTTTTTCTCAACATTGTTTCCCATCACTTGTTGTTGTGTGCGTATGGGAAACACGAGATGGTCATTTTTGTTTCCGGTGTTACACCATCAAGCGAGCATACAACCGGGACAACAACAAAAGAGTAGGTTATTTAACTTTATTTAACTCAACAGCCTTAGCTCCCTATGTCGATGAGATGACATTGCAATCGTCAGTATTATCCTACCAAACTGCACAGGAGGCAGAATGCCTTAAAAAGCGGTGGAATCTAGGGATATGAGTAAATGAGAAGTGAAAATTTCATTTTCGGCATTGAATCTTCAGAGATGTAGAACAACAGCCGTAATGTTGTTGAATGTCTGTGGCGTGCTGGGTTTTTTACAGTTCCAAGGTGCTGTGTCATCATTTGTGGACTGGTGTCCCCTAGACAAAGGGTTTACTTGGTGCTGAGTTTTACTGTAGGTTTGTTTTGACAAAATTTTTCATCAATATTTAGGTCACATCCCGCTTGAACATTCTAATACCGTATTGCACTTTTGCTGAATCAGTGTGGAACAGGTCAAACCAGTTCATTGAGCAATCTAGGTCACCTCTTCTTGATAGATTTTGCACGGATCCATCCGCTCACCAAATTACCCGACCATTCAGATGCTTTACTGCAGTTGTTCGTGTGTACTTTTCGCACGAAATCAAGGGCGGTGTCTTCATTCTCATTCTCGATATACCTACTATCAATCGGTAGTTCTTCTGAGAACCTTATCTCCCAGTTCACCCTTCAATAGAAGCAATTAGCCCAATCGTGAGCTCATGATCACTCCATTTCGCCAGCGGGTATCACCAACCAATAACTGTGACCAGTTGTATGTGTAGCTTGTACGCTTCCGGTGGAAGCTTTTGAAACCCAGCTCTTGCTTGAGTAGCTTTCTTCGTTGGAGATTTGTTTCTGAGACAGGATTTGCTTGACGACCCAGCGCCTAACTGATGTTCACCACCACACGTTTCGCTTCAACGACACTTCAACGCACAGACTTGCCTGCTGATTTCCAGTGCTAAACCCCAAAGCCACCGGGTCGAAGTTTATTTGAAGTGTACAGACAAGGATAGACCGATACCTTAGTTTGGACAGTTGCTTTCAGTGACTCGGGGTTCTAGTAAGGGACAGCACAGTTAATTTGTCGGATATACAACTAAGTGAGGAAAAGACCATTGTTTATTGGAAAGGGGACTAAGTCTCTCAGTGTGCAAAAGTGAGGGAGACGGATGGATTTTGTTTCAAGAACTTCCTACACTGGAAGCGGAAAAGCATCGAGTATAACTGGTCATGTTACTAACATTCTACTAATCAGTAACTCCGAAGATTGCACCATCGGAGCGGAGACTGCTAAAATGCAGAAACATGTTGGTGCTATCGCTTTTACGAAGACGGATGAGGTCACGACCGCAGTCGTGAGGAATAATAATGATTGTTTACTAAAGTTTAGCAGAACCTAGCTGATGAGCCTTCCCGACAAATCAGCAGTGCGGCTATTGCGTCAATAATAAATGGGAATAAGGTTGACGTTGGTAGATACATAAGATCCTTAATGAACTATTTGGATTCAGGTAATTGGTACCGGTTTTATTCAATGCAGCCACGAATTTACGGGCTACATGAAATTCGCAGTGGAGGAGTTGACGGCACAGGCTTCCCACCGCACCGGCCAGTTGGATTCCTAGGTGCCATAAGTGCCAACCAATTCTCAGGGCTTCTTTTGAAGGTGGCTGCAGGGCGCTGTGCACACAAGCGGTCAACTGACCAGCAGCACGAATTTGGGTCAAAAGCAGTTTGATGAGGTTACAATTGAGAAGGGTAGGGACTGCGGCATCAGGACCCAGCAAGGCATGAAGTAGAACAACAGTCATTCCAGTTAGGAACGTCTGAGGTTAGTCCAGTGATGCTGAACACAGTTCAGATTAAAGTAGCGTTCTAGAAATGGAAAGCTGTTACTCACGGTACTGATGAACTTGAAGGATCGCCTCCCAATCGAAAGGACTAAAGACTGTGTGTATCAGGTTAAATTCAACCATCGCAATAAAGTCTGCGTACGACAAACGACCGTGGAACTACACACCGGAATTACTGGGCCTAAGTTAAGGGCAACCAACTCGTACCAAATGCAAATTAATATTGGGTTCAGATGAAAGACTCGATGATGACAGGACATACGCCAATGCGTCTGTAAAATTGAAGTTTTCAAGATGTGGACCTCGATTCACGACACAGCTGGTGGCGGTGGCGATTGCCAAGTATCCCAGTGTACAGGACGTAGAGGTTGTAGGTGTGCAAACAGATGTTTTAGGTTATCCTAGTGAAAGGAGGAAAACCCTTCGCTGCGAAGTCGTTTATTGGTAAACACCAACTAAACAGTTACAAGCTATTGGACAGGAAAGTAAACGTCCCATATGCATATTATTAATCGTTTCCTTGAACTTTCATGGGTATTTATTGACTGTTACACAATTGTACACGAACACTGCGAAACAGTTCGACACCAAGGGCTACTCGCATACCTCATTAGTAGTATGCGCCATTACGCTGGTCGACACATGGCGATGCGCAGTTGTCAATCAAAGGGAGCACCTAACAGGGCTTGTTTGGATCCAGAGTAGAAACCCTAACTTGACTGAAATCATATAATCCTTCTCCTAATCTAATAGCCGTAGCAATAATCCACTCACGCAGACCAGCCTGATAGGCACCCAAGAAACTTCTCTCCATGGTCTAAACCAGACCCTCGACCCAGCCCCAGTTCATGTCACTTCCCCCTAGCCCATCGCTCGTAGCACTTGCCGACCCATAATAACAAAAAATCTCTCAGTCGACACGTGGCGCCGATTTAACCTGCCGGTAGGAAGGTACCTTGTCGATTTATTTCTTTTTTGCTTTAAAACGACCAATCTTGTGACCTTGTCACTTGGCCTGACCAAAGTTTTGTGTCAACGGCGCAAAATTGTCCACCAATGAAAAGACCGACTGTTTTCCAAAGGTTTTTGGAACTAAACATTCTTTGTCGGTTTCAAGGGTTTTTCAACCGAATATTGGTTTTATAAGAGTGGTTTGGTAATCTTATGTATCTGTTTCTCATGGACACTTTGTGAAGTAGATAGATCTACTGATTTTTGTGATGGTTAATTGGTGAGGAGAATAGTTAGCTCAGGTTCTTGTGTCCACTTCTACGCACTTCACGTGCACACTACATCTTGTGGTCTGGCCCCCACGACCGCGACAACTGTTTGACTAGCGCATACTGCAGTTCATGTCCTCTCTGGGGAGTTTATTTGATTACATTATGCAAGCTGGTGTTTGCAACTGTACTCTCGCTGTTTGATTAGACCACTCAGGTTGCACTGGAACCACCAATTAGGGATAGTTTTGGTGTATATTGTATTCTCCTAATTACGACGATTGATTGTGATGTCCTTGGACATACTTTGGCTGAATAATGACTGTCCGGTAGTTCCTGTGAAAAAGTCGAGGAATTAGACTGTCACGTGTCGTACTGAGCTCGAAAGTTATCACCGCCACGATGTGACAAGCGACGTAACTCTAAATCCTTTGTTTGGACGGCTTATTCGCAGTGTGGGACATTGAAAAAGTTGTGAACTAAGGCTTCATACACTACCCCATGAGCATGACTCGTTTTTTAACAAGCTTGCTGTACGATTTTGCGCCACGATTGTTTTTTTTTGCGTTTCAGGTGACGTTTGGTCGAAGTTCATTTGTATACAAGCCACACATCGACTTGTCCCGTGAGGGCGATAGTGCTCGTGTTTCACGTTGCCATGGACGCATCCGTCTGATGCCTGATGGTGCATTTTGGTTGGCCAACTTCTCTCCACATCCAGTATTTGTGGATGGCCATCCAGTGCTTGCAGGTTTGTTGACATTGTATCCCATTTCGGTCGCATGACCTCGCTGTTCTCAGCTATAAGGTCATTCTGTCGGATTTCTTCTTCCTCAGGATTTAGCGCTTATTTGCATGGATTTCTTTCGATGGACTGCGCATCGACGACACGGTCCTGTTTTCGGCACAATGTTTGAGTAAATCATATAATATTCGGAGGAAATAGTCTTTTATTAGACCTCCCCGCTAGCTATCTGTACGTCAGACCTGGAAAACGGAGTCTGATATGAGAACCCGGCTTCCATGTCGGTAGGTAGGTAATGTCGACCCTGAATTGACTAAGTAACGCAATGTTGCCACTGGTACGATTTTACACAGCTCCATTTGGGTATATTGGCTGTGTAAGCTCTTTGACACATTTCTACATTTTCTCCATCGTCCTGCATGGCCCACGCACTTGTATGTAATAATACAATAATAATCGTTCAGCCGTAGCACCTTTTCGATGCCTAGCCGCCATGTCCAAGCAAGAAAGCACAAGGGCTGGCATACTACCAGGTTGCCCAAATCTTTCGGTCCGTACGCTGGCATCTTAAATACTGGGCAATCCCGAGCATGTATCCGGTGGGATCATTCGGTGTTGAGTGAAAAGTTAGCTACTTAAAGGAACTTTTGTGCAAAAACCCTGTATCAGTCAGTTTATATGATAAGTTAACTCGGCCATTCATGAGTGACTAGTTCACACCCACTCGGTACGCTGTTGTTCAAAACACATTTGTTTTATGTCAAGCAAAGTTTTTGTAGGTTATTCCCCTTTTTCGACTTTCCATGGTAAAGAATTTCTCTCTCCCTTGCTGTTTGCTCGTTCGCCAAATGTGAACTACGAACCCTCGTACTGCGAGACCTCGTTAATAGGATATCTGCAAGTAATGTCCTACCTTTTCTTGTGACGGAAATGTGCGAACAGGAAGGTGTTCCCTTCAAGCGGCCAGTATATCCGTGTTTATGTAAACAACGAGACCGCCTTCCTCTGAAGATGGACGGGTTAAAAAAGACTGGCTCTAAATACTGGGCACCGATCGCCCAGTTATTGACTGTGACCACCTGTGTATTAAACAGTACGGTCCAAAAACAACTAAGCCTTGCCACGAGACCGATACGACCCCAAACGCATCTGCTGTGGATAGCAGTACGAACGGGCCGGATATCTGAATACACTTTCTCCGAGCTGTTCCTCAGTCCGTGATGTCGCAGTCCAACAAAATAAGTTGTTTACACAAGGGAGCAACGTTGTTACTGGATCCTGATGTAACGAACCAGCGTACTGGTTCACAGCCTTTTTGACCCTTCACTCCTTTCAGGGCGTGGTCCATGCCGGTTCCTCTCGCAGATACTGTCTATGGAAAGTTCACTTCAGTCCGATACCTATATTGCGATTCATTCATTCTTGCCATATAAAATGTTGGATTCGCTTGTTCTTGAAGCCTACCGAATGAAACATCGCTGCTTTACTGCAAGCGCAACGTTACCATTCAGTGGCTTTTTGTACCGTGCTTATACATCTCGACTGGTAGACTTGGCACCCCGAAACCAGAGTTGAAGCAACAGTTCGAAGCACAAGGCCAAACAGTCTTGCAGTCGACGTTGCAGGATTTTGAACTCGCAAGGCTTTGGGCCTTGTTCTTTCCTGGGCGGAAGAGGTGTTCACCGGCTGGGGTCAATGTCCCAATAAACAACTAGGTAAAATTATCACTTTCCTACCAGATGGGAGCGGTTTTCACCTGACCTTACAGTCAAACATCCATGTGAGAGTCCACGGGTTGTGCGGGCAATCTGAACAATTTTCCACTTACGCTCACTTGTCCTGACTATCATTATCACTTATTTCAAGTCAGCATGCTTATTCATTAGCTGTATGAATGTTTTAACCCTCGCCCGTCGGTTCTTTTGTTTTTAACTGCTATTTTCTGTATCTCCCCCCGTCACAGATGAAGAAGTGGAGCTGAGAGATTTAGCCACTGTTGTGGTGGCTCATATGACTTTCCGCTTCGACATCAACCAACTCTACGTAAATTCCTTATGTGGTGGCGGCACGGCTCCATCGGAGGATGCAAACGATCCGAAATCAAGCACAAATTCAGATGCTCCTTGCTCTCTCCTGGATGGTAGACCATCTCCTTCGCCACCTTCCGATCGATCCGTTAAGCGCTGCGATGAATCTTCGCAAATCTAGATTCCCTTCCCCACACGTCTCTGTACAGTTTCTCCGCTTTTGTCAGAATATTATCGATCGTGCTGTACATCACCTGCGCTTGACTCAAAGGACTGGAAAGTTGTTCATAGTTTCTTATCGTTAAATCGTCCTCTTATTTGGGCTAACTTGCACATAAATAACCTTGTTCATGTGACCTTTTGCCGGTTTGGTGTCCACACAAGCAAAATCAGACTAGTGCGTCATCTTACTGTCCAACATAGCATGACCCTGTAGTCTGTCGCTCCCACCTGGTGAGTTAAAACATGTCGGCTGATGGTCTTTGATGGGTTGTTGAGTTTTTTCTACCATAAAAGCCACAAGGGCATCATTTTTAAGCATTCTGTCATCCCATTGCCTGGCCTTCGATAAAAACATGTTGGACTTGTGTTTTTCTTCTCTGCCTCGCAAACTCCATCTTTATGTTGTCAATCATTAGTGCACTGCTGCGGAAGGGTACAAGAAATCTGTCATACCTCCACAGAAACCTAGATGATCTGGATCAAAATGACAAGCTTACGACTACAGGTTTGTCCTAATTGAGTATGAACGGTTTATTCAGAGTTGCTTGTTATTAAAGTTACATTCGAGCGAATTTTAAAACGAATCACTGGGTCGGTTGAAATAAGGGGTTGCGAACTGAACAACCTTCATCTTGTGAGCGGCATGAACGTGCTTAGGTTGTACGAGCATTACCGAACTGCATGCATTCTGTAACAGTTGTCCCTTTGCCATAAAACAACGTTCTGCGAACCGGTTTGCGGGTGCTATATTTCAAACTGATGTAGCAATAAGGAGCACCGGTCGGCGAACAAGATTTTTTCTAATACTTCGTCTGCTGACTACTTACTACAAAGGCCTGATGTGATTAGTTAAGACTGCACTCATTCCTGTCACCTGGTCACGCACCATAGATCCTGCGACAAAATTATGTGATTCACGTTTTTGTACTACAAAGGCTGGTTTGTAAATTGGTATATTTCGCGAATGGCATACAATTTAGTTGCAACTAGACATAAGGTTGACGAAAAACCGGGGATCGCTCCTACCTGATGAGCCCCGAGAAGGGAAAAGCTGATTTTGAACTGTCGAAGAGTTTCGGCAATGTGATCAGTACTGTCTGTTCACTACGCGTTACTCTTTTTGGTCAATAAGTGATACAGAAAACAAGCAAGGAAACAACAACAGGCCCTACTCGAAGGGTCTGACAAGAGCAAGTTAAGAAATGAGCGCGACATAACCGTGAGACCACCACAACCTGCTCTAACTAGAGCCTTCGGACCATTTCACTCAAGAACCCCCATCGTTCGCTCCGTGGTACTTTTCATGACTGGTTTGATATCATCTTGTTCTCGTTCGACAACAGCTGCACGCTCAGTCCCTTAGACTAAAGTAGTTGGTGGACTAGTATAGTGTCTGGAGGCCAGTCGCCCATAATAACCGAACGGATGTATCACGTGCGGGCTATGAACCAAATGAAGGCATGCTCTGACTGGCAGAATGCCAGCCATTCTGGACGGAGCATCTTTAGATCGACGCTTTTCTCTCCCCTCACGAAGATTCCAGCACGATTTTGTGTAACATTCTGTGATTGCCCTATAAATACAGTTGTAATGATCTTCCTATGTCTCCATAAGGGGCTGTCTGGAGCTATCGTGACTTTTAATGCTCAATAGTGAGCGCAGCAGGAAGCCAAGGACCGACACAGAGTTGCACGACCGTTTAGTAAGTCACATCATAAGTCCCACGAATTCTCATTTGCTTTGACATAACGGACTGCATGTTGACCTGTCTACTGACTTCCCGCAGCTGAAGCCCGCTGTCACTTGGATCAGAAGTGAAGTCGCTTTCTGTTCTATCCGGTATTAAACATATAGTTTGCTTGAGAGGAAGAGTACGGCACGCCACCACCACAGGCAGTCTCAGTTGACAACAAGCTAACTAGTGGGCTAGAAAGTGAGTCGATTAGATGGCGGATGTTAGTTATAAGATTGCTCACTGGGTGGTTGTATATTTTCTTCAAAATACCACAGTGTTCTTTCACATACCGTTTTTTTAACGCGAAACACTTCGCAAAATACTTTCACCGTATAATTTTTGGATACTAGGCTAACTAAATTTAATCCTTAATCCAACGCAGGTGTCCGAACCAAACAACGTCAGGTTTTCACCAACACCGTCAGTGCCGTTTACCATTATGGGAACAGAACAAGGTCGGAGGGTAAACACGACGTGGTGAAAAACTGGACATTGAAGTAGTGTCACATACATGGACTGTGCCGTTTTAATTGCGCCTAATCGTCGAGGGTTCCAGTATGCTTTGCCTGCGAAGGTTCACGAATTGATGTTCTGTGACTGATGTAATGCAGACCACACCGAGTACCACCTCACCGAAATCAGTCTGATCTTGGTACATCTCGCGGGTAGTTTGGGTCACTATCCCATCTGACGCCCCGAGTGTTCACGTTTTCCCCACCTTATTTGGCTTTCTTCATCCTCTCCTTCGACATGTATGGCACTCACGTGACACCAGCTTGACTGCCAAGGGCAGGGTGTACAATGAGGCGGTCCAATCAGAGACGTGGCCGCTGCTTGCGGAAGACCTTCAAGGACTCTGAGTTTGGCCATCGGTCCTCTGAAACATTTCGCTGGTCTAGTAGGAACACCCGAACAGCAATGGTAAGTTGAAGTTCATTCTCCTCCGATAGTTAGCTTGTCATGTTACGTTGGTTAGGCCATCTATATCGTACGCCAGAGGACCGTTTGCCAAGTAGAGCCCTATTTACACAGCCTTGTGTAGTATGGAGGTGATTCAGGGTTGGTCCATAAATTGGCAACGAAGCGTGAAATGCTTCTTCAGTCAAATCAACCGCGTTGATGACTGTCGTCTGCTCGCAGGACAAGATAAACCAATAATTAGTGACTGACAAATATGGTTGTCACGCAGCTATTGGCGGTCTTGCGTCAAAGCCATCGCCTTCGCTGCGTAGGTCAATGCCTGTCACACCGGACAGACAAAGAATCAACGTCAGTGAACTGTTTGGGCCATCTTCTCGAACGCTTTGCTCTAATTCCCTCATCCTCCTCGGCGAACGAACCTGACGCAGGTGGAATCACGGCACATCGGTGCATGGTATGTCAATGAATAGTGGAAATGATGATACGAGATCCGGAGAGTGTTGAAAGTGGACAGTTTAGCTCTATTGGTGAAGTCATTGCGTTCGTGAAGCGATGGGAGAGGAAACGGGCGACGTGATGAACAATGAAAGCAGTGTGTTGAGTACATGGTGGTGTGGATGAGATGAAAAACATTTGGATAGATGGGAAGCTAAAACCTCGATTTCCTCAGGCCACGTTGTAGACGAGGTTGCACACGAAGAGAAATGCTTCTAGGTTTATTAGTGGTGACTGACCGAGAAAACTCACTCAAAAGTGGATTTAGCAACCGGTGATCATTGAAGCTCAAAACCTATTTACATCTCTACAATCAACTTTTACCGCTCATCTGCCTGGTGATTTTTGCTGGTGTGAGATTTTGGAATTTTTGATAAGGATCTTGTCCTATGAGTGAAGTCAATCTATAATGAAATGCTGAGTAGCACTGTACGGCTGTTTCATCCTTAGTGGGAATTCCCGGCATTGCGCATCTCAAGAAACACTGGGAAGTCTCGCACCCACGACCTCCTGGCTAGAAGTTTTAAACACTTGATCGTTCGAACATGGGTAGCTAAACTTTCACTCAGGCAGAGTATAGCATCGCTCATCCTTCAGTCATGGTATCCACATCACGTGGTCGCAACTGTTGACCGGCTCCTCGACCAACGAATTCCCAGTACTTCTCGGCTTTTCAGCATAGTTGGGGTCACTTACAGGACGAAATCCCCATCAAAAATTCCCAAATCTCACAATACAGGAAATCTGTAGGTGGCTCAGAAGAACAAAATTCACCCGGTAGGTGAAACTTCCATCTGAGGAGAATAACAATGATTTCAAGCAACCTCGTTTTGACAGTGACGAACCTGAAGAGAACTGGTGTGTATGTATGTGTTGATCAGCCACAGTAACACTAGGACCATTCCAAATACACCCCACAACCAAATCACTGTATATGGGTCGAAACCTCCTTGAATTCGCCGCTACAGCCCAACGAAACCCAGAAGCCCCCGTAGATACACCATATACCATAGACATCCCCCGATAATTTCAAGCCTAATAAACTAATTTTTCATTGGCAGTTGATAATTACTGTTTGTTAGCAAACGCAGAATTAAGGTGGATATAAATTAGGTGGCTTTTACCGCCGATTGCGGCATGAAATATCCCACCGTGTGTGGATCATTGCGTGGGCGATTTGGAATCGACTGAATCAGCTGGATTATGAGCGGGGTGACGATAATTTCCAAATTCGATAAGTCCAATCGGGGAGCGGAAGCAAAATCCTAATGTTCTTGAAGATCAGTTTAACAAGATTGCCCCAAACAATGAGTTCGAAGGTGCAAAGGTGATGATTGGTTTTTGGTCAGTTTCTATTTCGGCGTAAACTTCATTCAACAATGGCAGGATTTCGGGGTTAAACGCTCACCTACCAGCTTTGAGTGCATACTTGAATCCTATTCTCCCACATTAACAATAACAGTCGTATGCAGGTTTTTCCTAGCTAAACACGGGGCAAAGGTTGCACCTGCCATTTCAGACCAATCGGTTTCAAACCGTGTCTTCCAAAAGAACGAATTGACGAAAATCGTTGGGCAAAACAAGAAGATGCTGATGAGCATCGAGTAGAGTTTTTCTAGCCTGAAATAACGGCCTCCACGCAAAGCTGCACAGCCCTCCGGTAAGTTGAGTCGGTCAAAGTCGCAGAGTACGACTGGTCCATCACAAACGCTTGAGCTACCGACTGTTTTCCAATGATTTTTGAAACGTCCCTGCTACACTTTTGTCGCTGCAATTTTTATTTGATTATTCCTTCATTCGTCCGATCATGTTGGTGCTATTGGAGACCGATTTCTATGGGATATCGATTAGCAGTCTAACGTCGAATGTTTAACTATGGACTTATCTGTTTGTCCACGAATGGGGCTGACTGCCATGAATACATTCTAATGATACCGTTCAATGACCGCAAACGTCGTAAACACTCGTCAGATCAAAAGCTTTCTGTCGTAAATTTATCGGTAGCGTATTCTGAACGGGTAACTTTACTTCAGTTAGGTGATATGGGTTCGTGAGTCACCAAAACAATCTGATTTCTGACCTGTAATTTCTGATCCCAAGCAAGCAGTCAAACGTATTTCGCGAAAGAATGCCTGAGATTGTGTAGGTATGTTTCATGCGTTGAGTTGATGGATGAAGAATATCACGGCTCCATCGGCTTGCAAACATCCCAACAAATTCCCCGTTTTAATTCGGTTGAATGGAATTGAACCAGTGAAATGAAATCCGCGAAATCCACTCACTTGCTCAGCAATTTTGTTTTAACGAGATGCTCAGATGAATCTTTCATTTATCATATTCTTTAACTGAATACGCTACAAAAAAACATTCTTCCTTTGCTTTCCTGTTTAATGATTTATCTGTTCTCTTGTTCCTTGCTTTCCTGTTAATGATTTATCTGTTCTCTTGTTCCTACTAATGAGAGGTTGGTTCATTAAGCAGCTAACATCAGGTTTCGTCAAAGTACTGGTGGCTGCCGTCGGATAATGCCACCGTACAGGTCGCTCACAACCATTAAACAGCATGATTACCTAATACCTACCCCACTTATTTCGATAAGTTGCACCCGATACTGCAAAATAAGTCCGTTGACGCTTGGTTGATTTAAGATCAGCTCAACGCACAATGAAGTCCGTCATGTGATGTTTCAGTGTATAGTACTGGGTGATGTTTCGCATGGATAGAAAACAGATTTCTCATCGAAAGCGATAACCATAGCTCCTCAAATCGTTGTTTGGGGAACATGGACAGAATTATATATTCCGCTCGTTACACAACTTGGCCACTTGAAACGGGAGATAGAGTAACGAAGAAACAGCATTTCTCAGTATTCATAGATTAGAAACAAATGGGCTCGAAGGGATTCAAGTTGTTCTACTTGGCATTATATTTTCCAACTCTAATGTGCTACTGCTAGACTGGGTGGGTTCGAACCCTAGCCCCATGCTTGCGGATGAACTGAGTTAAGTAGTAGACACATTTGTTTACCTGAGCAGCTGTATCAGTCCCGGTGGTCTCGCAGAGGATGATATTTCCACCCGGATTGGAAAGGCCAGAGCAACTTTTGCGAACCTACGTCATCTGTGGCGTAGGCGTGACATCAGCTTCTCTGTCAAGGATCGAGTTTACAATGCTGCGGTGCCCTCCATATTACTATACAGATCAGAAACCTGGCCGCTGCGCGCCGAGGACGTCAAAAGACTTTCAGTGTTTGGCCATCGGTTTCTTCGGAGCATTGCCGAATCTGGTGGGAACACCGGATTAGCAATGCTGAAGTTCGTCGAATGGTATTCGGGATAAATAACTCACCCTCGATAGATGAACTGATCACACTGCATAGGTTGCGCTGGCTTGGCCACGTGCTGCGTATGCCAATCGACCGAATTCCTCAAAGGGCTCTTTTCGCGCAACCATGTGAAGGGTGGAAACGGGCAAAAGGAGGTCAAACAATGACTTGGCAGCGAAGTATAAAAGCCATTACCAGCAAGCTCATCTGCGCTGGTCATTGCCATCTTTTTGGATGGGTATCCCGAGACGGGCCATATCAATGGTTAGAGTCATTCTCAGATATGGCCCAGTCGCACCCTCAATGGCGCTCTTGCATTCAAGCTATCGTCTTCAATCCATTGCTCCCTTCCCGAACCCTCCACTTAACAACCCACCTACAGTGCTGTATTTATGCAGCTCACACCTCCAATGCGCACCTACCTACCCCACCTCCCCGAATCTTCGGTGAACGAAACTGTGGCAGCCACAACCACTGTACGGCAAGTACGCGGTCATTATAGCTGACAATGATGATAATGATGATAATCACTCATGTCCAAGTGAGAACATTTTTGATAGGGTCAAAAATGTACAGAAGATAAAGGCTATTTTGGTGGTCGAATTCGAATGACTTCTGGACAACCGTAGGAGCGTTCGAGCCTGATGATCGCCTGAATAACTGAGGTTAAAAGCAGATCAGCTAGAACACATTTTAGTTTGGCTCTGAAAGTTGCTGCGTAACGTCTAGAAGGCTGGGGTTAGTTTTACGGAACTCTTAGTATCAATCTGAATAGTTTTAGGTGGTTGATGGCTTGCAGAATGCGCATTGGCATCACTCTCATTTGAACGGTCCTCCTCCTGTTCTGGAGCAATTATTCTGGTGAGTAAACAATAAAGAGGGAAGTCACTCGACTGCAGTCCCGCTCTTGCTAGAGCTGATCATCAGTCCGTATCGTTGACCGTGAAAAGGTTTTGGGCCCCGGACATCCGACGTGGCACCACCTAGCTGAGAAGTCCTGACAGGCGTGTCAATCGACTGGCAAACAGAAGAGTTACAGTGGATTGCTGTTCGATATGTCGGACGAACTGCTTAAATCGCTCAAGTTAGAACACGCCCAAGCACGTTCGTCTATTCCCATGTGACAAATCATGTGCGTCCAGCGTGCGCTCACCTTGCCTGACAGATGTCCGGGGATCAAGCCCCGGTGCAACCAAGGGTAAGCACTCCTAGTGAGCGTTAGAGCAAAACTCCTGTCTATTGCTGTATCCTTTCGGTGTGAACTAACCAGAATCATCAGAAGGAGGTCCGTTCAAACGAGATTGATGTAAACGTTAATTCAATGTGAGTAGTCTGAAAGCTGTATTTCCAGCACACCTAAAAATGAAAACGAGTGTGGAATTCCAGTACCCGAATGAATGACCGGGGTATCTCGTATCGCAGCTGCCTAGGCATGGATGTTTGTGGTAAGGCTTTTTTTTGAAGCCGATCAGATCGTAATCCCACTGGTAGGATCGGTGGACAATCTGTAGATCCAAGTCTCAATGATGGACTTGACAGTGTCATTCTAGGATGCCTGGCCTAGTTTTTCAGCAAAGACCATCCGAATTACGGCGCACAGTCGACGTCGGTGGACTGGCTGGCGGATTCTAGTGACAATAGACCATCGTCTTTATGAGGGGTTTTCACCAGAATCTTCAGAAAAGATTCTAAATACCTTGTCTCTGACATCAGTCAATTACAATGGCCTCTCATCTACACGGTTTGCAAAGCTGATCCAATGAGACTGACTAACTGTGATAAGCCAGAGGAGTTACGTCCCCGTCAGCATAGGAATGTTGAGACGTTGCAGGCAGACATTAGTGGGCGTCAACACTTGGGGCCCATAAGACACTGGAAAAGGATGAATTCTTTACGGACGCCAGCTTTACTCACGGAAGCTATATATCTGTAATAGTAACATCAGCTGTAGCACTCTTTCGGCGCCTAGCTGCCATGCCACGCGAAGGAAGCACGAGAGCTGGCCCAGGCTGCCAGGTTGTCCAAGCCTAGACAGGGGAAATTGAGAGGCGGTTGAATTCGGTGAATTCACGCTCTAACCACTTGATCTATTCACTGACTGTGGAAAGCGATAGAAAACTGCAACAAACACAAGCGAGTAGTTCTCTATTCAGAATCGGTGCGAAGTAAGAATATGTGCCTGAAATAACCATTATTTTGTTAAAATATTCACAGAAAACAACAAGTGGTATAATTATCACTCCAAAATGGGCTTTTGCCTAGGATATACATTTTGCCTACACTTAGGATATTTCGGGCCTGTGCCGCTTATCTATATAATCGAAAATACAGTATACACAGGGATTAGCAACAGATTAACAGATTAACAACTAACAGAAAAGGCATATACTCTGGCAGGCATATGAAATCCAATCAACAGAAAATGGTCGAGATAAAAGTAGAAGTGGGGGTAGAGAAACTGTAGACTAGTTTTGGTGGCACCGACAAAGGTAAAGTAACAAATACTGCGGCAAAACAGTGGTGGCAGCATCGACACAGACAAATGAATAAATGTGCTGTCTCACAGATCCAAACGAGGTTCGAAGTTTATTCTTTCGTTTGTCTTTACACTCATTCAAAAGTACTCACAATCTGGACAGTTCTCAAAGCTTAGTTTCGAAAGGGCCTTTCCCGAGGCAAGTTTTATTACCTTGGTGTACATTGTGGGTAGCTTCGAATAGGAAGCAAAGTACACGATGCAGGAAGAAGAACCGACACGTCAGGTGGGACTGGAGACCATGGATTCTCGTTGGTCTGATAACGGTTCTACCTGCTGCGCCATAGTAAACACCGCTTGTTCTCCTACACGTGTATCTGAACTGTACATTCAAGCCGATTCAGATCACAATGCACTCATTGGCGCACCAGTGTGTTTTTCACAGGGGACTCACCTGAATCTCTCGTTTTTGATGTCGTTCTTCAACTGAATGTGTTGCACCAGGCCGTCTCATTCTTCAGCTGGTACGATATTCGGAATATTGTATAGACGTAACGCACTGAAAACTCATGGACAACCCAAGACCAATTTCACTCTTCGTGAGTTGACCAAAATTAGAGAACTGCGCCTACGTGACGGGCCCTAAGAAGGGTGAAAATAACCTTGCGTGAAAGTAAGCCCAGCTGAATAGCTTCGAAAGTTGCAACAGTACAGAAATGACTGTCTGAAGCGAGGTCCATGCATATGAGGATTTATTTGTGATCCCACTCGCACACACCGTACGTATTTCGGATATACACGTTCGATATCATTTTTTTTACAGTATTTCCTTCAGTAATTGACTGAGCATCCAAGTCATAGAACTGTGGTGGTGGCATAGTCAGCTGCGATGTCGATGGTAACATTATTGGTGGCTGTTTGACCATTCCCCATCCTTGTCAGCATAGTAGGTAACCAAGAGATGGTGGTCGTTAGCTTGTTCGCTGAGCTGGGCAATTTGATTGCAAACGTTTCATCACCAATCGAGGTGACATCATCAGTGCGTTTTTGTGGAGCGTGGTAGTGCGTAGCGGTGGGTTGGTGGTTGTGCCTGATGATGTCACCTCAATTGGTGATGAAACGTTTGCAATCAAATTGCCCAGCTCAGCGAACAAGCCAACGACCACCATCTACGATACCTGAGCTACCAACATTTTCCTCTACAGTGACCAAGAGAGTTCAGTTGACGTTAGTGGATGATCTTCGAAATCGCTTCAGGAAAGTTCAGTGGAATTGCGTGGTCAAATTTTCCAAATAGACTTTCTCGCTGACTATCTCATTTTTGAGGTACCACTAACGAATCAATAGCAGTAGCGAACGTCAACTATTAATGCATCAGTCGCGTGCGTCAAATCAGTGTGGAGTCTGAGCACACATATTCGATATGGGCTAGCATCCACATCAACTCCTTCGTAAGAGCTCTTGTTCGCCAAATGAAAAATCCATTGTTTTGTTCTGCCTATCTGTTCTTTCGTCGACGACATGCTTAGTTGGGTTCATACTGAGGATAGCTACTTCGCCAAACCATTCATGAACCTGAGAATATTTCGCTTATTCTAGACTTTGTTTCTGCATCAGTGTGTAATATGAGAACATACAGGTCACTGACAATATGGGCTAGACGCATAGATTATTTCGCACTGAGGGCACCAGCCCCTTGACCAGGCTACCACAGGCTAGACTTTTGATTGAAGTTTGTTATTATGTACAACGAGGGAAATGCTTCGACGCATAACTTCATTTAAAAATGAAAGCTGATCCACCTAAAGTGGAGTGGGGTCCCTTTAAAAATGTGGAAAACCGACTACATATAACAGGCCTCGAATGTACGCTGACAATATATTCAAATGTTGGTAGGTCGGTTACGCTAATTGGTTGTAGGTCGGGTGGCTGGTGACCTGTTTGCCGAGCTTGGCAGTTTACTTGCAGGAGCCTCGTCACTAATCTTGGAGATGTAATCAGTGTCCAGAAGCGCGTTGGTGATGTCTACTTAACTGGTAACGAAACGTTTGCAAGGAAACTGCCAAGCTCGGCGAACAGATCAACATCCAACTGATCTGAAGCTCTTAAAAGTACCTTAATTTTTAGGACCTACTTTGTGCAGTTTATCAGAATGGAAGCCGCAGTCCAATGCAAAGTTGTCCATGGGGTACGAAACCCTAACCGTCACGATTTTATGCACTCGACGACCTCAACCAACATTGAAAATCGTTAGGGTATACGCCCTCTACCGGTGGGGGGGGGGGGAGAATTCTTCCCCTGATACAGGGCCGGTTTTGGATTCAAAGGAGTAAGTGTCTTCTCTGAATTTGTCAGAGGATTTAGTAAAATTCAGTTCATTTTAGTCCCAACTGATCACAACGACAATAAATTTGGGGAGAGAAGGACGAAACATTCGGCAAAGTGTTTTGCAGCTCCCTTTACTGCGTAACCCCAGCTTGCATCCTAATGTGCTATTCAGAACATAAGTCTCTGCGTGTTTGGCTGTGACAACGATTGATAAATGCTCTTGTGGTTAAATCCGACTGAGACATTTAAAGCACTGTTTTTAATATCAGTGGCTGTTTATCTGTTTTCGCGGATTTAATGCCATTCGGGCGGATTGTGGGCTAATATGTCACTCACTGTAATTTAGCACTTGGAAAACAAACAGAACTATTTTTCAGTTTAGATTCTTATGCTAACCGTACACAGCACTGAGTGCATTGACTGCTTTATCGAATAATTCTTTTGGGCTAGCAAGACTAAACGTCTGGTCGACGTGCACTGCTTGATACCCAGTATCGAGTGAGAAAATGCTTAAAAATCGCCCACTTACAGGGTCGTGTTGATGGAGGAACTGAGTATTGGTGTAGTGATTCACATTCTTCAGGGAAAACGAAAGAGATGACAAAAACTCTCTTCTTTTGGAGAAATGTCTCTCTTACCTCAATCACAACTCAAGTCCATTGATGATAGGTATTTCCGAGAGGAGCAAGACTAAAAAATAGTTTACTTATAAGAAACTTTTGATTTCTCTCGATAACTCATCAACCGGATTTCTTGCACACCTTTTTTGTTGGAACTTCGTGAAAAACGAGCGATTTTTTGGAGTAGACAAGTCAATACTCCATGATGAGAGTCATACACACCACCTAAGTCAGATCTGTGCAGGATTTTGTCTAAACTAGATCAAAATCAACGGCCGTACTGGATTTTAGCATGGTTTTTTGCACATGCTTATACAAAAGAGCCTCAATCCGTAATTCACAGTGAAGTCGTCATTTTCCCCAATAATCCCAAATAGGATCTGCTAAAAGGCATCATTGATTGATGATTGTTCCAAAATTAGCGGTCCAAGGACGCACAACATCGGCGAAAAGACACATCTGTGGGTGCAACTGACCGTCCGATCTGTCGACCAGATGGATCCTACCGACTCATCTACCGAGGATGTCAGTTCCTAACACTTTCGTACGAAACTCCATACGTGGATCGCCTCACCCCTGCCTAATTGACTGACAGATGATGCTCAAATCTTACAGTCTTAATTGCCTTCCGTTTTACCAAATGAGGCAAGGGCAGAAGGGTTGGGTTGACAATTTTTTCATTCGACTTGTCCGTTTCCACTTTATTGTTGGTGTTGCTAAATCCTATAATGCTACATGATGGTCGTCTTTTTAAGACACATGACATGTGAGGGCACATAGGGACAATGTATTATTTTGCATGTCTTCCTGATTCCACAGGGAATAGTGTTTCCACTGTTGATTACAACCACATAAGTGAATACAATGCTTTGAATAAATTTCGCAGGAAAAAAATAACCTGGCACTGACCAAAGCAGATAATGCGAACTCAACTCAACCAATTCGTGGTTGCAATACGATTCGTTTACGTTGCTCCCGGCGGGCAATAATAAGATGGGTGTGTGGCCTGCAACAGTGCTCCACAAACTTGCTCAATGGGAAGATACTCTAGCATACCTCGTGACCAAAGGTAAACAATAACTTTTCCGTGTATCACTTCACACGCCGAAATCTCCAGTGTTTCACTTCTGACACTAGAAATGATAACCACGTAGTGTGTCGTCGTACGGGTTGAATCGTCTTATTTGGACAGCAAAGGTGTCCTTTGCTAGGGGGGTACAGATGAATGTGTGCAAACGAGTGCTAAGGATGTACATCAATCCCCGGACAGAGAGAAGGAGAAAATATCCACCCTTTTTCTACTCACCAGGTCAGTAAATATAGGCCAGTCATGTGCTCCTTCGACTAAAACTGCTCATTAGTGTCACTATGCTCATAACAACGAGCCTGTTTGTGTGCATTTTGCACAAAGTCAGGCGAGTAGAATCATGAATGCATGGTCTGGTGTGGCCCGGAGCGTCATTTCTGAGGATGTTGGATGTCGTCATAGAATATCCTCCATCAAAGCACCAAAAACTTACTTCCTTACGTTTTTCTAATAACAGAAAAAGGAAGAACGGTAATATTACACGGCTCCATCTCAGCTTATTGGACTACTGATTATTTCCGGTACTGTACATTCCAGTTTATGATAAACGTTGATATTCTCTATCTGATTCACTTGAAAACGCGCACAGCGTATTGGTAAGCTCTGTGCAGGGCCAAAACAGGCAACGCATTACGGCGGCTGACTTTGAGAATGAGTAATCTACAGAATTTAGTGAAAGGCATGCTGAGATCTTATTCTATGGTTTCTGTCGAGTGAACTCGCAAACGTACTCTTTTTCTCACTTATTCTGTTCCTCATAATGTTTCCAGCGCCTTCAGTATTTACTTAACTGAAGTTGGACAAACTTTCCGATCCATCTTAGACGATAGTTGTTGAAGATTCGGGATCTATTAGATGGATACGTCAGAGAAAAGCTATCAGTTAATTGCACCAGCTTTTCGAGCTTAACAGAGCAGTTTCGGCCATTGCTTCGTTTTTTATGCGAACACGTCTAAAAAATATCGGCGTACCAATCAGTGTACTGATTGACCGAATTACTTTTCCTGTGGGTGTTCAACTGCGCAAGTGCAGAGAGCTGTCATTCGGCATTTCCCAAGCCTACTTGCTTTAAATGAAAGTTCACACGGTTCACACAACTAGATGTTGCAAGAATAGACGAGATATCCGTTTTAGGTGAAACCGGTAACCTAAGTTACGATGACCTTGTACGGTACAGTGGTAAGCTGCGCGCGGCTACCAAGAAATTATGCAATGGGATAACATGGTGTTATTCTGTTAGGCATACGCAGATCTCGTCATACAGATCACTGCCCGGGACCTGTTTCGCTAATATTGCTCTGTTTGATGACACATATCTTACCTTTTTGGAAGTTTAACGGTTTAAAACTTCAAGGACGAGTTCCTACTCTAGTTTTCCGTTAGATGTATGAAATGAAACCCTGGAAAAGTTCCGTTTTATTGAATGGTTTTCTCTGGGCAATTTGTAGTCAACTCTTAATGAATGGCCAGCCAAGCATTGGGCTCATTACCCAGAGGAAAGCTTTTCCCAATTTTTCAGACCATTCTACTCGCGAGCAGAAAACTCCCTGAGATCAGTAAAATTCCAAGTTTCCCAGTGATTTCCCCACTGAAGTTGCACCTTTACAATCCCGAGCGAAAACACAATAACGTACACGATACCGATTGTTTACACGGTTTGGCCTGGAAACATTTGGTCACATAAACATTACTCCCGTAAATCGTTTCCGCGCCTATTGTTCAAGTATGTTTACGCTTTATTGGATTCTGGTGAGCATTCAAAACTCGATGGATATCTGTGCCCACTGGCAAAATCATTCAAACGGTTTTCGATGTGGCCGAGTAAAATGGACCACAACGGAGAACCATCCTGGCAGAAACAAAACACCGTGTTTTTTCTGCTGGCTTGATCCCGTTTTGAGTGCATGATTGTTGTTACATCCATATAAATTAATTTACTAATCTATTTGAAAAAGACCCCGACTGTTGGGGGAATTTCCTAGCTCAAACAAATAAACACCTTGAAAGAAGCGCTAACTGTGCCTCATTTCAATTTCTTATCCGTTAACAACTAGAGTACGGTTGGAATTTTCGGAAAAGCTATGCAATAAATCTCGATAGTAAATCAAGACACGTCAGTAAGCTTTGCATCCTGGGGACGTGACAGTGTCTGAAGCAGTCAATGATTCATGGAATTCCAAACAAACGGTAGAAGTCAGTTGAATTTTCTTCAGTTTAGACAAATAAATTATTACATTTAATTTATTTTTGTTTTCGTCTGTAACTACACTAGTGTGAATTCAAGTTATTCGAAACTCTCAGGTCGTTTTTACCCCGTCAACCCAATTTTTGGAGAGATCTGGCAAGCACTTTACGAAATGCTTCGTAAAAGCATAGTTGCAGCGTTGTCCAGGCGTGCGAAAAAGGGAAAAACTCGGAAAATAGAGTGACTTGGATAATATATGACTGTATCACACAATCGACAATGTTATGTTCTCTGGTGGGCTAGAACTACTCAGAATGGTTCCTTTTTCTTACATTTGACTTTAAGTAAAGCAATATATACTTGGAAAGTGTCCCGCATACAAGCTCACTTCTACGCATACTACAGATAACTATGAGTGGTCTTTTCAGAATGATTAGCACGACTTGTTACTTTTTGCTCGAAAGTTCCTCTCATCTATGAAGCTGAAAAATATCGTTTCTTTCATCGTTCTGCTGATCTCCGGTTGCAATAGTTTGCAAAACTAGTCCTTCGGGAATGAAGCGGAACGTTATCTATTCGCTTATTTGGTGATTACCTGGGTAGTGACTGAAGATACACTCAAACCTATGATAGTCTTCGATCGAGTTTGCTGAACAAAGTCCGTCGGACGTTTCACGTGGCACGATAATCGAGATTGTGCTGCATAATACTTATGTGATTACTAACAACTCTTCGACAGCTCGGCACCAGTTTAGCTTTTCTTGAGGTTCATCAAGCAGGTGCAGCCAACCCCTCCAGAGTTTCCATCAACCCCATGTTTTATTTGAACGTTAAATTACACATAACCGGAATTATAAACTAAAATTAACTTGGTGCCAACGCCCAAGAAGGGTGAAACCGCTAAAGGGCTGTTGAAGATTTTTCACGGATCCTATATGTAGCAACTTGGAAGGACTTGTGTTGTGGTCGAGTGCAAATCAACTTGAATGGGAAGTAGATGCTTGGTGAATTTGTTTCAAACTCAGTTTACAGCAAACTTATGAGTAGTGTCTTCTACCGAGAAACCAATTACTCAGGCCGACGCACCTGCTGTACACGTGTCTTGCATCTACGATAGTCACCGGCGGGTCCACATATCCACACTGTGCCCCTGTCAATATGAATGGATGACCACTATCTGGTACGACTTAGATTTGCGCTTTCATTAGCTGAGCTTGTTTTTCAACACCACTTACAAGGATTCAGCCTGATCTGACACTATTTTTATTGTCACACTCGGATAGAATGAGACCTATCTATCGAAAAGCAAGACTCATTTCCTGACATTTTAAGCGAGTCACGGGTACACATGTTGCCCATGATGGATCAGTGGATGTGCTATTCTGTAGTCAAAAGCCTGCAGCTGAAAGCCAACTGGTAATACTATTGGTCCTCTCAACACCCATCTCATAAGGCCATATAAGGATAACAAGGCGAAATTTTATGGGTTGTACAGAATTGTCTCTATGAGTAGGCTATGTAAATCTGTCAAATCCGGACCCGGTTACCTTCGTTTTGTCACCTGAAGTTCACAGTGAATTTAAGGGCTTCAGAGATGCCATTCCTTAGTTTGGACCACAAGCTTTTATTTTGGTCAAAACCTGTTCTGATAGGAATCTAAACTCATCCTTTCTACGTGCAAGACAAACAGCTGTTTTAGAAACATTTTTGTATCATCTTGTCCAATACGCACCCGTTCAAGTTTCGAGGTTCATGAATCGAAACTGTTTTGTGAGTTCAAAAGCGAAGAAAAGCTTATACATCACTACAGCGGAATATGATGCGTAGGTTGCACATCAACGGAATAACGCCACCACCGAATTTCACTCCAATGTTGTTACCGCTTGAAGACGCAAACAAAAACGCATTGAAACTAAATTATCGACCTCAGCCTGCTCACCAGCTGATCTGATCAGAAAGACATTTGTAATGAACTAATTGCAATTGCTTGACTACACATATTGAACTTCAAGGCTAATGATTCATCATAGCTCTGCTGACTATTTGTGACGCTGTCATTTGTGCACTCCACCCTGTTCGATTCAACCGACTACCAACATATGAATCTGGTGAAGGAAAATACCTGACACTTTAGAACAACCAGCGGTTCTTTAATTCTCAACAGACGATATGCATCCTGATGTATTCATTATCTAGCTGATCGTGTCAAAGAACATTTACCGGTTATAGCAGAGAGCACATACGGTCAGTTTGGTGAAGTTGATGAGGCGAAATCTACTCAAGTAGCTGTGATCAAAGATCCCGGTGTGAGGGTCTTTTGCAGTCGTCTGAATGGAGATTTAAACCTGTAAAAGCAACTCCTTCAGTGACCAGGAAATTAACGGTGTAGCTTATTATAATACACCACCGCAATTACCACTGTAACATTATGGAAACGTTAATTTGCATTTCGCGATTGCTTCCCAGCCTTTTCAAATGAATTTCCCAGAGGAAGATACTGTACCTTAAAGTGTAATTGATTAGAAACACAATTCTTTGGTCACTCTCGTTCTCTTAAATCTTGATTATTTTCAGCGTACACTGTGTGATACCACGTGGACTTCCACTGTGGCTGCTGAATTAACCTAATGGTGTCGACAACGCATGAAAGATGACAGACCAGATTAAGGGGCAACCATAATGATGTTAAAAGCTGTAAGAGTATCACCTTCTTTGTTTTATAGGACAACACTGTTTGTGCGCGAGTTAGCTCAGTGGTGAGAGCGCCAATTTACTGATTGGAAGGTCCGTGGTTCGAACCCGACCACTGACTCTCGAATATTTACTGATGGAAAGGCCCGGGTTCGAACCCGACCACTGACTCTCGAATTTTCTTGTCTGGGCTCGAGCAACCTGGCGGTTTCCTGGCCCTCGTGCCTCCGTTGGGTGGCGTGGAAGCTAGACACCAAAAGGTAGCCACAACCGAACGATTTATTCACTGCCTGACTTCTGCGAAGTAGAGGCTGAAGTACACTGCTGCGATAAAACCGGGGAAAACAAAGACTATAACTAGGTTGGAATGGTTCTTATATTTTGAGGTAACTCACATCCCTTTTATGACGTTCAGCTACTGAGCACGTAATATAACAGCAATATTCACGTGATCCCGTAGACATACAATGTGACTTCCAAGTGGGTGTGTCTTGTTGTCAGCAGATGAAGGCACATCGTGAGAAACAGGATGTGTTCAATGAAGCACAAATTCGATAGCCATAATAAGTGAACCATTACTCCTTACGTTGTTTAGGTCACTTTTTCTAGGTCAGTGCATGGTGTTACCAACGCTCCGTGGGTGTTCCACAACGTTGCTGAAATCACGTACTTTTTATTACAGTATGTAACATACCCATATTTTCTGGGAGTAGATTAGAATCACGAGCATTTCTGAAAAACAACGTTGGACGAGCTGGTGTTTCTAAAACTGCACCAAGCGAGGTACGTCATTCCAAATATTGAATGATTTAGTATCGTGTTAAAAATACCATCCGCTTTTTTTTATATTCATTATCCCGTTCACTCCGAACAATGAAGTCTCTCAATGGGCAGCATTTAGGTCCGCCTCATTCCGCTAAATCAATGATCAGTTTTGATTTTGTGTAAACAAAGCTTGCAAAACATTGTTACATACCGGAGAGTGTGCAATGCCACTGAGGCCATTCCTCATTAACTGAAAAGACTCACACTTTCCAGGACGTACGAAGTATTTTGTCACTCATCAGTAAGTGTCTACACACCACAAGGTCTTTATGACTTCTCAATTAAGGACACGGAACTTTTGCTGTAAAATTCCATTAAGCATCCACGGTTTCTTACTTGTTTCCATCTATGGCATTGAAGGGATTTTTAAGCTCTAAGACGCTACTCATAAGATTGCTGAAATTTATCTGACTACTGCTGCAATTTTGACCGGCAAGTGTAACCAGATCACATCCAGGTAGCATCTTTTTCCTTGCTGAGAGTTGCGGTCTCTTTGGTACACGACCTATATACATGAACCAAATATATATGAAGTGAAATGCCTGTGCTTCATGATCAAGGTAGCCAAGGGATATTACCCGTCTTCATATTGTACATATACGGAGGATACCAGAACACTTGTTAGATAGACTCTCTGCTCAATTACAACCTCAGGTGGAGTCAGTTTACGGCCAAGATACTTGTTACCTAGTCGCTTGTGGGTCTCAACAAAATTTGCTTCGTATTATTCCACAGTTTGCGGTAGTCCAGTGGTCTTGTTACCCTCTTATCCAGCATTCGAAAAAATTGTCTAGGAAAGTGTCCAGCAAAATATTTGACCAGATAAATTTTCCTGCACCCCTACAAACTGTCTACATCCGCTAACGTTGACAAGAGTGCGCATGCCATCCTTCAGTGGAGACATTGTTTTATTCACAGTCCTATGAGGCGCATAACTCACCCGAGGAAGCTAATTATGATCAAGGACACTGTAATTTTGCATATGGTTGATAATCGCCTGAATGTCATCTACAGCTCAGCAGCAGCCACCCGTCGGATCAGCAGCTTTGTGCACTCCCTCAGCCAGCAAGATGATATCCGAGGAGTTCTATGTGTGACAATTTCAATGATCAGTTGCTCCAAGTAATTTCCCTTGACATTTTGGTCTTTCAAAATTAAGAAAGAGCACGGAAAACTAGGGAAGAACTGGTAGGTTCACCAACATTTCATATCTAATTAAACAGCTACATGATAGAGACCATTCATTAGGTAGCTCCCACCCCAAAGTCACAAAAGCGACCGGTGAAAAAGTTATCCAGAGTGGATCTCTGACTATCTTAAAGGCACCCTTGAAGGAATGGAATAGGTTCTTCAAAACAGCGGATCGTTTCTAGCCGTTCACCAGATGCGAGTTGATCTGTTCGTCGAGCTTGGTAATTGGCTTTGGGAGGCTTCATCTTAAAAGGAAGCACCTCCAGTGGTCTGTTATTTGGGTAATTCCTCCAAGTTTACGTTCAATCGCATAACTTCTTGAGAGTATTTGGCATGTTTATCACATGTTGGTAGCCAGAAGTTTCACAGGTCCGGTTAGAATTTATACTGCCACGCAATACAAACCGAGGCCGGAGAGAACAAACTACTAAAAATAGAAGGCGTGGGGATAACCAATCGACACGAAGGAACACAGACCACAACGCAACAAAGATCACAAATGGACCAATAGATTCACCATATTTGTTGCACTTTAAGTAGCCAGTCACGTCAGAAGATAACAGATAGCCTTCGAATGCTATATAAACGCACGCAGGCAAGGAAGAAGTACCCACTCAACGGCGCACTGATGATGTCTCCTCGTATGGTGACGAAACGTTTGCAAGCCAATTGCCAAGCTCGGCGAACAGAGCAACAGCCACCTGATCAACAACCAATAAACTCACCCGAACTACCAATATTTCAACGAAGCTCAGTCTGTCACACTAACCCCCAAAAAGCCTCATTGTTCTATCAGTCCGACTTCTACACTTCAGTGTTTCATCTTTGTTAGCCGAAACTCGTGGCCTGAGTTCAAGCAAGACAGATGTTGACCAGCATTGCATTAGACATACCGGATGTTTATTCAAGCCGGAGGTCATCGCTCGCAGATAACATGTGCGGCATTCTAACAGTTGCGAGAGGACGGAGAGCTTATTACAGTAAGCTGCGTTAGAATCTAGTAACGGTGAACATAGTCCATCGGAGCTAGGACCAAATGTCAACGAATTTTATAGTAGGAAGACTGCCGCTGAAATATAAAATCAAATATATATACATAAGTATGGAAATGTATAATACATAATATGATATATATCAAATATACGTGTCAAATATATCAAATATCAAATGTATCAAACAAATCACTTATTATTCGCACTGTTCACTGGCTCCTCGTGACCGGACGGTTAAGTGTGCAAAGTACTAATCGGGAAGTCACGATTTCTAATCTCCCTGGAGCTTCGTGAGATGTGCAATGCTGATGATTTCCAGTGAATTTGGAACAGCTTTACAATGCTTCTTCATTTTTAGGCATAAATTAGTTTCAAGTAGAGGATGAGATCATCGTGGAAAATCTCCAGTCATGTCATCCTAGTACTAAATATCATTCATTTACGTTCCAAGCTGATTGAAAAAAAGGGATCATCTGATATATACTATCAACTTCAAAAAACCACGTTTGAGACAGAATGTTAGAACTCCTCTGTAGTGTAGTTTCCAAGACTAAATTTGACTATAAGAAACATCGCAAAATGGCGTAACCGTCAATAAGAACCCTGTAAATACTCTGTTCCCTTCACAACTGTTCAGTAAGGATGAAGATAACCTGGAGTTTCATAGTTAAGAAAACAAAAATAAATTTTTAAAGATAAGGTGTTGCTTATAAGGTAGGTAAAAAATTTTATGACTAGTACAAGATTAATGAAAAACGAAAACTTGAAATACAGATCTGAATTGGTAAAGCAGATTCGGTTGAAGAAAACCAATAACGTGAGATTTAAGTACATCTCATTTTACTCTCTTCTTGACACTAGTTGATCAGCAGCTAAGTTTTTAATCCAAAAAATCGCAGATTTTGTCAACTGTTTTATTCTCGCGATCAGCTGCACACTCCTAAACTAAATGAACCTAGTTATCGTTGTTTTACAGATCTGTTCTTTTGGGTTATCACCACATTCTAATGCGACCGAATTTGATTACGTTAAACATATCGTACCAGGAACAGGCTAATGTGTTTTCACACCAGTGTGCGTTATCGTCCGAACGGTCCATCCTCAAAGTCTGGTTACTTATTCGCTGCACGCAAACACAGAACACACCTAAGGCTGTTCAGTACATGGTTATTGAATGGTGTCCACTTCTCAGAGGGAAGAAGTCTCAGTTATCAAAATGGAAGCCAGTAGTACATGTCAGAACAGAGAGGAATCGTACACCGCGCACAATTTCGGCAATAAAGCCTTGGAAATTAGATGGGAAGGGGAGTCCAACTTAAATATCGCATTGGTATGTATCTAACACACATGTCATGTCATGCCTTTTGCTCTCCTTAACAAACTTCAAATTAAAGTTGTGGAGCAAACATAAATTGCGATAAGCGTAACTTGAAATTGGTATCGTACGATCAGGTTCAGAATAACCATGTGCACAGAGCGTTGCCTGATCGACAGGACCCCGTGGATCGATATAACTTCCGGGTTCTGGTCGTATAATAGCACCTGTCCCAAATTAGCTTAACAGCACTTGAACCCCGAAAATTCTCAAGATGAATGAGACCACGCCGATCGAAGCTTGAAAAACCAGTTTTGTACTCACAGGTGCATTTGGTTATTACGATCTCGTTCCTCTGACATCATCGTTCGCATTTCACATACTACACTTCCGGTAGTTTGAGCATTCCTCACTTTGTGTAAGGTAGTCATGCTTGTCTGTCGTACGGGCAGCAAATGCTGCTTCCCTAAGTTTGATGTACGTCCTTGTAGTTGAAGACTGTGCAACGTACTGAACCGGGCTCTTTTCGCACAACCACATGAGGGGTGGAAACGAGCCAGGGGCGGTAACACAATGACTTGACAGCGAAGTGTAAAAGCCACTACCAGCAAACTCAGCTGCGCTGGTCATTGCCGTCTTCCCAAGACGGGCAACATCAATGGTTGAATGCGTTGCCAGACATGGCTCAGTCGCGACCTAAATGGTGCTCGTGCATCCAAGCTATGGCCTTCAATGCATAGCTCCCTTTCCTATTCCCATACGTGACAGTCCATTGACAGTTCAGCATTTACGCACGAATTTATCATCTCCCGCCTCCAATGCGCAGCCATCAACCCCATCTCCTCAAATCATCGCTGAATTGGATGAAGACCCCGAGACGGGCAATATCAATGGTTAGAGCCATTGTCAGACATGGCCCAGTAGCGCCCTAAATGGCGCTCGTTCATCGAAGTTATTGTCCTCAATGCATAGCTCCCTTCTCAATCCCCCCAACTGACGCCACACTAACAGTGCTGGATTTATGCACCAGTTTATCATCTTCCTCCTGCAATGCGCAGCTACCTACCCCTCCCAAATCATCGGTGAACGGAACTGCGGCAGCTGCGAGTACGCGGTTATTACAGCTGACAATGATGATGATGATGATGATGATGATGATGATGATGATGATGATGATGATGATGATGGGGAATTAGGAAAACCGAATGATTCGCACCTTCGAGCAGCGAATCACGTCACACTTCCAGTCACAGCCATGGGTAGAAAAGTGGATCAGCTATTCAAACTAGCGATTTCACGATTCACACCATATATACTCAGCAGCTTTTTGCCGCATAATTGGAAGATGTTTCACTAGTCAGCTTCCAGTCTCAAATTCAACCCGATTGCAAGCCCGTGGGATAAACTTGCAAATCAAATTTACGAAAAACTTAACTGCTGCGGTACCAACAGTGAAGTCATGAGTACCCTGAGAAGAGAAAAGAGCAATGTCACCAACCGTTATATTGAGAAACTCACTGAAATTGTCGTGAGATGATTTATAGGGTGCTACATAGCAGTGACCACAAGAAATCATTGAACACTCATTCCAACGAACCATACACCTATGATATTGTTTTGCTAATTTTCCATTCTTAATGTTTGTGACTGGTTCCTTAAAGGAGTATTCTTCTGAATAGTAGTGGTCTCGCTTTCCGGTGAAACCTGCCACTTATCTATAAAAACCCTCCAATTGCATTCACTCAGAATGGATTTATAGTTCGCAACGTTGACCGTGTGGAAGGATGTACAATTTAAAGTTTACAGTCTCTCATGTTAACGAAGAACAAACTAGCACTCTGGTAATTCGTCACCAACAAAATGTCACCTCGGAATTTCAATTAAATGAGATTCAAACCAAGATGAGCGAAGTCTTTCTGGTAAAGTGTGATTTCACACTGTATACTGGAATCGGAGCTACTGTCGAAGTCGTAAAGACTGTGGAATTTACTAATGCTTACTAAACCGTCAAAATCATTGCATTCGAGACTATTAAATTAACCTGTACTAAAATATGTGCCTTACTTGAGAAGTGGTATACTCTCTGCTCATCTTGTGCAAAACATTCCATGAGAAAGCACAGAGCCAACGCTAGTCCGCACGGAGCTATACATCTGTGGTAAATTGCCCGTGGTAATCGAGGTGACCCATTAACTGGTTCATTTCATACGGTGTCAGGGGGTATGATAACGCCGGGATTGATGAATTACGTCAAATCTCACAAAATCATCAGCCCAAAACAGGAAAACAAAACTGAAGAACGAATGAATCAGATACAGCAAGAATTTCCCATTCTTTCCTGTCACAGCTTAACTCACTCCATTTATGCAAGTCTTATTCTTCTGAAAGGTTGGATTCCTCCGGCTTCCGAAATCTGGCTCACTGTTCCAATGATCTATCCTTGATCGTAACCGAGCACGTCATGATAGGCTCACTGAGTAAACTGGTGGTGGTGTGAGGAGATTTGGCAGTTTTCAGTCAAGATTTCATTCTGTAAGTGAAGCCAATCTGAGCTGTAAATCCAAAGAGCACTGTACAGTTCAGTTCTATTGGAAATCCTTATCACTATGCATCTCTAGGTAGTCTCGAATAAGTGGTCTTAGAGTTCAAACTACTAGCCGGGGGACCGTAGATTCGAGACATCCTGGTGAGATGCGCAAGGATAATGACTCTCAATACGGACGAAACAGCTGTACAGTGTCTCTCGGGCTTATGTCACAGACTGGCTTTATGGATAGAACGAAATATCAAGTGATAAAGTCGATCGAACAGTCAGCTCGCTTTCAGGTATAACCGGAGTTTCCACAAATAGTCATTTCATCAGTCACTATACCGCACGGAGTATACAGTAAATTCAGTGGCGCTTCCGCGGCAATGTAGAAGTAGTGCGATAAGCGAGAGTTACAAGGTTACAACACAAAACAGAACCTAAGGCAAAACCAGCGCTCTAAAAGGTGGCACAACTACTGGTAAGGCCGTTCTAGATTCGAGGGACAGCCTTTCGGCTTATTAAGAGAGCCTTTCACTAGCAACTAAGGCTTCGATTATCCGATCAGCAGCGCTCATTCATTTTAGCCAATACAGCCCTTTAAGACAATCGGTGATTTCGAACAATTATCAGTCAAGCTCAGGCGCTGCATAGCCAGTCAGATAGTGGACCAAATACAAACGTGCATATCTGAGCATCTAATGAAACGCCCAAATGGCGGAGAGCAATTTCGTGAGTGGCGAAGTAAAAACTCGCTGTTTTGCTCCAACATTTTCTTCCATTCACCGTACTATTGGTCCCTGGTGAATGAGTAGGTATGTATTTTCTTATTTTGGCAATGCTTTCTTTGACTAACCCTTATCAG